AACCGATCGCTGCCCCTCCAGCACAAAGACTCAATCTGAAACATTGTACACATGAAAGAAATGAGAGAATGTATTTGGCACTGAGCCAGTAAGAAATTATTTGAGTGCGGTTTATAATTTTTACGTATCGCATAAGACCAAAGTCAATTATAATTCAGATATATGACTTATTTCAGTAAACAGAATGGACATGGGGCATTAAGTGATTATAAAGTATGGGCATGGAGAGCTACGTGACTATTAAGTATGGGCATGGAGAAGAACTCAGTGACTATTAAGTATGGGCAAGAAGAACTCAGTGACTATTACGTATGGGCAAGAAGAACTCAGTAGCAATTAAGTATGGGCAAGAAGAACTCAGTGACCATTAAGTATGGACATGCGGGCACTCAGTGATAATAAAACGGTATTTGTTAGTTTATGATCCGACGGAAACACTATATATCGAAGTCTATATATCGAAGTCTATATATCGAAGTCACTTATCCCGTCACACACTTCGGTTTTGTTATTCATTCAGCCATGCTGTCAAAAAGTGTGACAATTAATCAACCCGGACCACCAGAACAACACATGTGAGCACAGAGCACCATGCTGGGGGGGTGGCAACGAGGTGTCCGTGAGTGGTGAGGGTGGAGCTGGAAATTGGGGGGGGGGGGGGGGGGGGGGGGGGGGGGGGGGGGGGGGGGGGGGGGGGGGGGGGGGGGGGGGGGGGGGAGGCAAGAGAAGGGACAGAGAAGTAAAGGGAAATGTAGAGATAGACAAAGGAAAGAGCCGGTGGGTGGAGAATGTGAGTGGCGAGGGTCGAGCTGATGTGTGTGGGGGAGAGCAAGAGAAGGGACAAAGTGATGATGGGAAACGTTGAGATAGGCAAAGGAAAGAGCCGGCGTGTGAAGGAGGTGAGTGGCGATGTTAGAGAGCTAGTTGGGGAGAAAGAGAAGGGACAGAGTAGTGAAGGGAAACGTAGATGTATCCAAAGGAAAGAGCCGGTGGGTGAAGGATGTGAACGGTTCTTCAAAAATTTCCACCAGCCTAGAAGCCTAGAAGAAATGTTGGGGGTGTCTCTATCGGATACGAATACTGTTGATTGAATTCTATTCCGTTCGTATTAATGATTTATTATATTTGAGATGATAAAACTAAAATATCAAATAATTTCAGTTTCTGAATTCATGCAATCCCAGAACGAAAGGGTTGTCACCACATGGTGTTTGATTGAACAAGGTCAGTCAGGAGTTGTTGGTGTTAACCGTTCACCCAACAAAAGTGGGTCATTTTTTCGTTCAGACGTATTTAGTACGTCAATGTCGTAGGGTTTGCAAACTTCTCATAATTAGTACATGCCGGTCATCAAAGCATGTTGCAAAAAATGACAGTCAAGACAAAGACTTGGCAAGAATTCACCGCACACATTACAAAGAAGACCCATCACGAATAAAGTCTACCTTGTTCCCGTGTCAGCTTTGTACACCACCACCCTGTCCACTTTCAATGACGTGTCCAGCACTAAACCCCATATCGGAGACGCTGATCTCCAGAATAAAGTCACAGATCTCACGTTCCCCAGATCGTTCGGTATTCCTGCGCTAAAGTTGTACTTTCCACCAGCCTTGTACCACTGTGCTCTATGGAGAAAGGAAAAAAAAACAACTGAAAATTAAACAACCCCTAAATATAAAGGTGTTTCACATAAATCCTTTATATGCATTATTTATTACTTTATTTTATATTAATATTCTTACGTCCCATCAGCTTCTACTCCGCAAATTTAATTCACCAACTATTTGTATGTATGGCATCTTTCCGTCTGCGGGAGACGATAGATAATCTTTATTGCTTGAAGCTCTTGGTGTGGCTAGTGAGACCAATCCTCGAATGGCAGTCTCTGTTGCATTTCCCACACACGAATGCGGTGGAGCAGTATTTACTGGCCTTCCTCCTCGCTCTTTTTGCAGCTGTTTCCGCCCTGTTTTGCTCCTAGGCATGTAGTGATCCTGCCTTTACGATGTCCCGCCATGAGGATCGATCCTCTGCCAGTCCTCCCAGTTTGAGAAGTCGATGTTGGCCGACTTCATGTCTCATTTGCATATGTCTAAGTATCTCAGACGAGGCCGTCCAACTGACCTTTTCCCTGTCACCAGCTCACTGTATAGCACGTCCTTTGGTATGCGACCAGGTTGCATTCGCTTGACGTGTCCAAGCCAGCGGAATCGTCTTTGGATTAACATGGCTGAGACGCTACGCACGTTTGTTTGGGACAGGACATCCGTGTTACGGACTTTGTCTTGGCATTAAATGTCAAGGATGAGTCGCAGGCATCTGAGGTGGAAGCCATTGAGCCTTCCTTCGTGCTTCGAGTATGTGGTCCACAACTCGCATCCATAGAGGAGTGTGCTCAGTACGCAGGCCTAGTACACATGTAGCTAAGTTCTTGTTATGAGTTTGGCGTTTGACCAGACTCTTTTCTTCAGTCTGGCCATAACAGTTTCGGCCTTCCCTATCCTTCCCCTTATCTCACCCCATTGAGAGGGTGCTCGATATGTTGGATTCCAGATATGTGAAATTGTCAACAGTATCCAAGTCGTAGTCGTCGATGGCGATAGTGGGGAGGGAGTCAGCGCCCTGTGCCATAATGTTAGTTTTCTTTAGGCTAATGGTCAGGCCAAACTCTTTGCATGCAGCGGATAGGCTGGATACGAGGCTCTACAGGCCATCTGCTGTGTGAGATACCAAAGCGGCATCATCCGCAAGCAAGAACTCTCGCAGCAAGACCTTTCTTGTTTTAGCCTTAGCTATAAGGCGGGCAATGTTGTTCTTAAAGGCATACTGGAGTAGGATGGAGAAAAAGATTGCAAATAAAGTAGGAGCCAGCACGCAACCTTGCTTTGCTCCACTACCCACTGGAAAAGCTTCTGAGGCGGCACCGTTATAGCACACTGTGCCCTGCATGTTATCGTGAACTGCTTGATGATGTTAAGCAGTCGTGTAGGGCAGCCTATCTTTTTGAGGATCTGAAACAGGCCGCTTCTGCTGACAAGATCAAAAGCCTTAGTGAGGTCGACAAACGCCATGTATAAAGGCATATGTTGCTCCCTGCATGTCTCCTGCAGCTGGGGCAAAGAGAAGATCATGTCTATGGTTTTCCCACCGGCGCGAAAACCACATTGCGATTCTGGGAGTACACGCGATGCTAGGGTCTGTAGGCGTGTTAATGCAACTCGGGCGAAGGCCTTTCCCACTATGCTGAGGAGGGAGATTCCACGATAGTTGTTGCAGTCACTCTTGTCTCCTTTATCTTTGTACAATGTAACGATTTTTGCATCTTTCAACTCTTGTGGTAGCTGTCCATGTTCCTAGCACAGAGTAAGAAGATCGTGCAAGGGCGTTAATAGTACTTCTTTTCCCCATTTGAGAGCTTCTGGTGGGATACCATCATTGCCAGGGGCTTTCCCACTGGCGAGACAATTGATGGCTCTACGTAGCTCATCTATGGTGGGTAGGGTATCAAGCTCCTCCATGGCATGGAAGTCTGGGATATCATCCAGGGCAGCGTTTGAGACATGGTTTATCGTTGCGTATATTTCCACGTAGTGCTCTATCCACCGCTTTAGTTGTTTATCTTGATCAGTAATAAGTCCCCCTGATTTGGACATTAAGGCGCAATCTTAGAGATCAGAGGGCCTGTTGCTTGCTTTATATTCTCGTACATTGCCTTTGCATCACCTCTTTCAGCAGCTGATTGTATGCTGGAGCTTAGATTGAGCCAGTGTGTGTTAGCGTAGTGGCGAGCTGCCTGCTAAGCATTTTTCTTGGCGCTTTCAAGCGCTTGTAGAGTTGCTGGGCAAGGCATGTCTTTATAAGCTAAGAAGGCCTTTCTTTTTGCATCGGTGACATGTTTCATTTCTTGCCAATGTGCCTCGAACCAATGTGCACTTTTTCGTTCTCTCTTTCCAAATGCCATGATAGCAGAGTTATAAATAGTGTCCCGCAAATGTGACCATTTGGACTCGATACCAACTATTTACTATTTCAGAAAAACAGAAGACAACATTACGCACCAAACGCACTTGTGGTATTTTTTAAATAATCTCATTTAGCGCAGTTATCGGGAATTTTCATTCAGCTGCATCAGATGCCTTCATCTTCCCAATAAAAACGTGGAAAACTGATTTTTGGAGGATGGGGTTGGGGTTGAATAATTGAGAGACTTTAATCTCATCGGCAACGCGTCTGTGGGCCAAGTTTCAAGCTCCATAGGTTAATGGAAAGTGGGTCAATTAGCCGTCCGTAGATTTCGCCTCACACCCAGCCAAAATTAAATAAGTTTGCAAAGATTCAAAACTAACTATTTCGAAAATTATTAAGAATTTGAATTTATTTTATTCGCACTGTTATTGAACACACCATGTTTTAACAAAAATTATTCGGATAAGTTTTTTCATCGTGGAATAAATAAAAATATATTTATTTGTTTTAAGAGAAAACGTTCCAATATAATTTTTAAAACTGCACCTTACACTTGATTCAGTTTTACTTTGGGAGAGCGTCCATTATCCCCAGCTAGGATGACATCCACATATCCCAACCGGTCACCTTTACTAACTGGGCTTATCTCGAGTGCCAGCTCGTAGCTGTACTCTGTAAGGAATTCAGAAGCTGAACATAAAAACTGGGGGATTTTGGATTGCCACTGTTTTGGGGAATATGGGACATTATCCCGACATTAAATACGAGATTTGGCCAATAGATTTTTATATTTAAATACTGCTCTATGAGATTTAGCAAATATACATTTTATATGCGGTCTCTGTAAGTCGATGAGACGTATAGATATCGTATGTAAGTGATATTCTAATTATCTGGGATGCACACCGGTTAAAAAAAACATTTATAAAATAAAAACACAAGAACTGATTGTGTAGCTTAACGATATACGCAAGACATTGTTTCAGAGAGCAAAGGTTACGGTAAGTGAAACGTACAAAATGGATGTCACAATGTTACTCACGACAGAAAGGTGGCGCGCTGGATGTTGTGAGGTATAGAGATCTCCTTGTCCCCGGAAGTGGCAAATACTGTTCAGCCCGTAAGCCCATTGAAGCACAGCCGCCATTTTCACAAGTTTTACATTTTCCACTCTTGAAAAAAAATATATCAGAAGCTTTCAATGACTGTCACTGTCACTCCACGTTTGGGGTCTTGCCTTCTTTTGAGGTTTTAGTTGTACGGCCTTCAGCTGCATGATTGATTACATTCGCCAACAGGTTTATAGACAATGGCACATGCTAGGGATACTGGTTTTTGTTTTATGTTCTAGAGCGGTGGTTCTCAGCTTTGCTAATGCTGTGACCCGTTTTTAGAGCTTTTCATGTTCTGATGACCCCCCATCACAAAATTATTGTCCTTGCTACTTCATAGATATTTGTTTTTCGATGGTCTTAAGCGACCCCTGTGTAAGGATCGTTCGATACCCAAAGAGGTCGCGACCCACAGTTTCAGAACCGCTGTTCTAGAGGTTCAATATTTTATGACGTCATTCATTTATTTTAATAATTAATGACTTCATTCATATGTTTTAATATTTAATGACGTCATTCATTTGGTTTTTTTTAAATTAATTTTTTTAACATTCTTTTTTGCTTATGTCAAGACCATTTTTGACAGAGCTCCCATTTTTCTGTTAAATGATGCGATTTTACCATTAACGCATGTATTGCTTACCAGATACTCCTGCTCATTGACGCAAGGGTAGGCCAAGAATGGACATGCCGAGTTGATACTCTCATGGAAGTACTGAACGGCTCTGGCGTGGTGGCAGATCACTATATCGACAACATCGGTGGCAGCTAGAAAACAAGTGACAGAGTTCCCGTCACATATTGCATTGTGCTATTCCTATGAAGCCTAGCTGTTACTTAAGCACTCTTAAATCCTCATATACATCATAAAGTACAAAATCCCAAAATACCTTGTGTAATCCCCAACATTCAACGTATCCTTCCAAAATACCATGTGTCATTCCGAAATACCATGTGTCATTCATCCATACCATGTGTCATTCCAACATATATTATTTTATCCCCACTTACCTTGTGCTATCCCTCTTTACCTTTGTTATCCCAAGATTACCTTTTGTTATCCTCCCATATAATGTATTATTCCCCCCCTCAACCACATTCCTTGTGTTATCTTACAATTCCTAATATGTCATAACTTAATATATCCACAATACATCTTGATACCCCACCATACATTTAATTACATGTTCCTACATCTTGATACCCCACCATACATTACAATACCCATCCTTTCGCTGTTCCACATTACATTTTAATCAATACATCGACTTCTGCCAGCTTACATATCGGTGCATCCAGTTGAAATACAGAGGTGACAAGATTGGCATCACATCCCGGTTGGTCATGTCCCAAGTTCGGATAGAAATCCAAATGTCCCACTGGCTGCTTAATGCCATAAGCTAATGGATATTATAAAATAGTATCATCAACACTTATTGCAGCATTAAACTGCTTCTATTCAATGTAGCGAACTCAATCCAAAAAAAAAAAAACCTTAATGAAATATATTTGTAACTTTAAAAATTGTTACAGACAAATATATCCTTTACGGACATTAGGTGTAAATTTGTTAAATGTACAAAGCTAAAAGCAAGTATGAAAAAAATATTTCGTAATTACCTCGTTCTAAGTATTATGACTTAAAATCTTATAAGTTGCGTTAGTTTATAGCATGCCATTCTCGTTAATATTTAATGGCACCTAATTATAATCATTCAAACGTAAAGCAAGTCGGGGGGAAAAAATCACAAATGCTGAAAATTCCGGTTTGATTCTCCTCCAAAAACCTATTATACGGCAATATCAAGGCTTTTGAGGGATATTCAAAAGTTCTTACGGACTTTTACGGACATGTAATTTTAGGTCAATTTTTTAAGGACTTTTCGTAAATGTGCAGCCCTGGTTCTATGCCAGCTTCTAAGTTTAAAGGAGTCACTAAAGGTGACATAGGCCACTGAGATGTATCCCTAGGCCCCCGTGTTCTCCCAATTAATACGATACACACAACGCAAATTTTGACATGGCTGTTTTGGTCTAGGGAGTTTCTGTAAGTAATTTAAGAACAAGATCTCCTGCAGCTTGAATTTCTTTTTGTAAGTTATTTGACGAATAAAATTTGACTAATTATTGTATCAATAAATCATTAGTATATATTCGATGCAGTTCGTTCTATGAAAACCACTATAACATGTGTGCGGACGAATCGTTATGCCAGTTTGAAAGACTTTTTGTGATCGCCCTTAGTGGCTCGACTCAAGTGTAAAACTTTTACTGTTACTGGGTCAGGAAACTGTGAACGCTTTATTATTTATTGCTATTTCAATCGCTCAATTCTTAATTCTTTCCTCTGTTTAAATATATATATATATATATATATATATATATATATATATATATATACACTTTGTCCGGAAAAAAAATGAACACTTTTGATGATGAAATCGTATGGTAAATATTTTTCAATTTTAAACATTTCAAGAGTCATTTTAATGCAAACATAATGTCAAAATATATGCCACCACTATTTTTTGTGTTTCAATTGTCCACCAGCAGCTTCAACGCAGGCTTCAAGAAGCGTTCTCCATTGACCACTAATCAAAATGGTTGCCATTTTCCGATAACGATGTATACTAATACATATATATATATATATATATATATATATATATAATTCCAGGTCAAATGCTTGCTAAGGATTCACAATACTCTCTTTGAAAAGACAAAATTCAATGATCTGCGATACCTATTGAGAGACGAACATTGTAGATACTTTTATGTCACATCAGAGAAAATGGTTTAATCATGGTTTTTAGAAAGCCACCAAAGCTCATTAGATGGACAGAACTAGTATGGACAGAACTAGTATGGACTGAACTAGTATGGACAGAACTAATTTGGACAGAACTAGTATGGACTGAACTAGTATGGACAGAACTAGTATTGACAGAACTAGTATGGACAGAACTAGTATGGACAGAACTAATTTGGACAGAACTAGTATGAACAAAACTAAGATGGATAGAACCAGTACGGACAGAACTATTATGGACAGCCTAAACCAAAGCCAGCGTCCAGCTCCCACAAAGGGGAGGGGGGCGGACATTGACCTGTTTAAAACTTTTAATGGTGCTCGAGGATTGGGGAAATGATGTTTAAAGTCATTCAGTCGGGCGATACCTAAACTATTGTGACACCAAAAAATAGCCATCCTTTCTAAGGCCTCATGCAAGATTTTCCATGAAGCTTAATAGAAATCCGTGAATGCAAGTTTCATTGTCCTACAAAATAACAATATGGCTAAGTGCACTGTTCCCTTTAAGCTGCGCGGCTGCGCGGCCGCGCAGCAATCTAACAGATGCCGCGCAGCAGTTTTGAGTACCGCGAAGCTAATTTCCACTTAAGTGGCTGTTTTGTCTGTAGGCTGTAAAAAAATTGATGCTGTAAAAATTTGCACACAACTTTATGATTTTGCACACGAACCAACAAACCTTAGAGGGAACATTGGCTCAGTCACTCACCAATTGCAGTCCAGGACTTGTAATCTGTGTGAATCGCGTCGACGAATGTGGCGTCTGTGGGATCCAACCTCACTCTTGGATCAGTGTTCTCAAAATATGGTCCAGCTGGGTCCAGCCCTGTGACAGAATTATAGCATAACAATCCATGTATGATTAAAATAAAAGGGAAAGTATTACTTTGCATCCTTTATATTATACCAATCGAACAATATGAGTGATGCCATATTACAGTTGAATAACCTTTTATAAGTTCAAAAATTGGTCATATGGCAGGAAATGTAAATACCCCCCACCAGGTGCTTTGATGTTGATATTAAGACATGAATTAATTTATTGACACTTATCTTTCTGGAAATCGCTATTCTGCACTGTCTATTAATAGTCTAATAAAATAGTTAAGAAACTCATTGATTTTAATCAATGTACTTTGTATGAGATAGGTAGTTATCAAAGATAATACAAGTCACCATTATTATTATGGACTATAAAATGAGCCCAACATGTCATCTCCCTAACAGACAAAGTTCCAATCTACCCTCTCTCCCAAACCTTCTCCTACGTCAGTTGTTGAGTTCAGTAAATGATTTAGTAAATTTGTGTGGACTCTACGCATTTTTTCCCCATTGGTTTTATTGATTTTTTTAAACAAAAAACCCAAATTCACCTGTGATTCTGCCAAGACCAGGCGTCCGTTCCCCAGCGTAGCCAGCGATGTGGGCACCAAGGCTGTGACCAATGACGTGGAAATCTCCAGCCGTGGTCTCAGGAAAGTTTTCCTGGTAAATGAAAAATACGAATTGTAACACACGTTTATGTATTTATACTTTGTAATGCTATCAATGCAATTTTGCTGTCGATTTAAGTAGGTTTCCTTAATAGCAATAATGAAAACGTCATTATATAAAAGAGGCAAATCAGTCATATGAGATATCATATGATATTTGAACATGTACTGACCTCATGTAGTGGGGACATGTACTGACCTCAGGTAGTTGGGACATGTACTGACCTCATGTAGTTGGGACATGTACTGACCTCAGGTAGTTGGGACATGTACTGACCTCAGGTAGTTGGGACATGTACTGACCTCATGTAGTTGGGACATGTACTGACCTCAGGTCGTTGGGACATGTATTGACCTCATGTAGTTGGGACATGTACTGACCTCATGTAGTTGGGACATGTACTGACCTCAGGTAGTTGGGACATGTATTGACCGTATCTAGATAGAAAAACTAAAAGGTCATTAACAAACTGACCAAAAAAAAAAAATCCCATCGTAATAAAATATATTCCTGTGTCACCACTATGCTGTATTTTGGATTCTAATTGTTCCAAAGATGTGTAGTTACTCCATTGAAATTAAGCAAAGAACAGCGTAAATACTCAAGCATCCCCACCCCCACCTCCAATCCTACCCCCACAACCCCCACATACACACACAAAACACACACATACACACAAACTTACAATGAGTTTCTGAATGAGGTACGCAATCTGTGCTCCAACAACACGTGTGTTGGCAGTGGCCTGTGTGTAGGGCGGGCCGTTACCCGTGTGCCAATCTACAATGACAACGTTGTAATCTGCTTTTCTCAACAGCTCGTCCTTCATGTCCTGCCAGTGCATGTAAGAACACCGACTTATGTTTGTACGTATATGAAAACCATCTCATGTCTGTACGTATAAGAAAATCATCTCATGTCTGTACGTATAAGAAAACCATCTCATATCTGTACGTATAAGAAAACAATCTCATGTTTGTACGTATAAGAAACCAATCTCATCTCTGTACGTGTAAGAAAACCATCATGTTATGTTAGCACGTTGAGAAAAACCACTTTATCTTCGTACTCGTTAACGTGGCCCTTGTTCCCACGCCCCACGCAACAGTGCCCCAAGGCGAAGGTGCGCTTTGTCCCACGCCCCACGCAACAGTGCCCCAAGGCGAAGGTGGGATCTCAATAAGTTAAAAACTGGTTCGCTGGTTAAATAATCGTTTTAAGAATAAAAACGTTACGCCGAAGGTAGTTTATGATTTAATACAGGTAATAATTGAATAAGAGCATACAATTGATACACAGAACTAAACTGTTTAAAAGAAAGAATTCAAAAATATTAGTGAAAACTTATTATGTGTAATACCTTACAAAAAAACAATAAAACTGCTATTTAAGATATTTCGAAAATTTAACACCCGATTTGTAAAAATAAAAAAAATTATCCATTTACCGAACTGGGGCGAAACGGCTAAATGCCGGCACCGTTCGTGAATGATAAATATAAATAACATTTAAATATATTGTTACCTTTGATAACGCTGAACATTTAGTTTAAAAAAACTTTTTTAACACATTCAATTTGAAATCAACTTAATTAGCTAAATCGATACTTTGATATTTATGAATTACGCTAAAAACCTAAGATTGAAACTTCTTCGTTAGGAATAAGTAACGTGATCGTTCAAATCTTACTCTTAACCAAGTAGTTGTAGCCGGGTCCTGGAGGAAACCGTGCACAATGATCTTTGTTAGGCGAGGCTTGTAGCCGGTCCATGTGTCGGCCACAGTGGTCGTTTTTAAAGCCTCGAGATCTTGACCAACGTCCGAATTATTCCGTGAGAAATGTGCGAAAATGGTGCTACAAAAAAAATGTTTAACCATTTACTGGGGAACATTGAAGTTGATAGTCAGACAGTATGCAGCACACAGACTAAACAACAGATTTGATGGTAAGAAAAAGTATGTACAGCACTAACACTAACATTAGAATAAATGTAGGGGTCAGTGATGTCAAACGTCCGTAAATTTACGGAAAGTCCCTAAAATGAGTTTATTAAGTAAAAGAAAGTCAATAAGACATCAGCAAGATCCGCCAAGAAATGGAAATTGTGCTGAAGACTTTTGATTCGAACCTAATCTGGCTTTTCCACGGTTTGTACATTTTTGTCATTCTGTTTCTGTTGCTTGAAGCTTAAATTGGTTATATGCTCATAAACAAGAGAGGTTCATCACTGTTCAGAATGACATACAATAAAATAATGTTACAAACAGGACTGTGCATTAAAAGACATAAGGCATAGACTTATACACCGGATATACAGTCAAGAAGCATGGGTAGTTTAATTCTTGTTCGTCCAATACTTATAAAATAGTTGATCATAATTATATCGTGTCAATAAAGATTATTTTGCTCCGTAAAAAATGTAATTATAATTTAAAATAATCGACAAGTAAATTTGATTTTAATAGGTCGGCAACCGCCTTTGGTGTGTACATCAGCTCGTGATGTGTACATCGGCTCTTGATGTGTACATCGGCTCTTCATGTGGACACTGAATCTTGATGTTGACATCGCGTCGTTCTGGCTTGAAAATAACTTTAATTTCTAGCATCGTGGCTGATGCACGGCCACCGGTTTTATATTGTCTTTCTATCTCAACACTATTTAAGGCAATTATCTCCTTCACACCAAGCCACAACCCCAACCCCACTTTCTTGTTTTATATTTACTATGTTATTTTGTTGAACTATTGGTGTTACGTAAATGTCAACAACAAAAAAACGGTTGATGTGATTCTTGACGATATTAAAGACTTCTAGAATACAGACGAAATTGATGAAATTAGTTATACGACCTTACAAGAAAAAGATATAGTTCATTTTACCCAATTTTTCCCGGGGATTGAGGCAGTACGGTAAATGGTCTTTCGGGGCTGTTGTCAAATGGAGACTCCGTGGAGAAGCAGCCCAAATCGTCATAGCACACCTCACTTCCTGTTAGGAACACAAAGGGAGGTTACACGGCGTATATCCTCGTGGTAACGTGTTTTCAAATTGAGACGAGAATAGAATAGAAATTGTTAGTATAATTGTAAGTGTAATGGTAAGTATAATTATAAGTATATGGTAAGTGTAATGGTAAGTACCGGTATATCTAAGTGTGGTTTAAAAATTCCATTGTGTAATGTCCCTGTCGTAGTCATGGGAATTTTATCCCATCTATTTTTTTCTCATTCTCTGCCTCTCTATATATATCTCACACACTCTCTAACTCACTCTCTCACTTTCTCTCTCTCTCTCACACGTCTTTCATTGTATCATTCTCTTTTCCTCATTCTCTTATGCTATTACTTTCTCAAACTTGTTATGACTCTCTCTCTCTCATTGTCTCACTCGCTCACCCTCTACATCCCATTCTAACACACTTTTCCTCTCACTCTTTTTATCACTCTATCACTCTACCTCTCATATACTTTTACTCTCTCTCTCTCTCTCTCTCTCTCTCTCTCTCTCTTTCTTACTCTGTCCTTACCTCTAGCTGTCTCTCTCGGTCTTCCTCACGCTTCTTATCTTGTTCACTCTTTTTGTTGTCTCTTTCTCAATGTCTCTCTCCATCTCTCTTTTTCTCTCTCCCGTTCTCTGTTGCTATCCTTCTCTTGCTCTTTCACTTCTAGCTTCCCTCCCTCTCTCTTTCTTCCCCTGTCTCAAACTCGTCTCTTGCTCTTTTCTGCCCAGAAATAATATACTCCTCAATTATCTTACAACAAACTTTGAACAAATTCGTTGAGGGAGACATTTTGATAACGCAACATAAAGAACAATGACGACCTACAAGTCAGCAATATAGGCCAACACATAATCGAGTCATTCTATGATGGCTTCAGACTTATGTGAAACTGTCATATCTGGATTACAACATGACAAGACTGGTGGAGTTATAAGCATATGCAAAAACGTATTTCTGAGATCACTTTTTTTTTTTTGTTCAACTTACGTTTGTTCAGCAGTTTAGCCCCATCATCACATAACGTGTGTGTTGAAAGCTGCAACAGTATCAGCAAAGGAAACATTTGTGAAGGTGCGATGATCTGTCGTTGACGTGCCTATATCATGTCAGGCTATGTCTTCATATCCTCCGCTTTTATAGTTTTGACTTTGCTGTGTTATTATGGAAACTGATCATACATATATATAATATATATACACCCACACAAGCTTGTAATTCACGCTCATTGAACTTTTCGCTCCTCGGAGAGTTTTATATAAGTGGTGCTTGTCTTGTGAAGTGTTGGTGCATAATGGCGCAAGTCAATTTTTTGTAATGCGGCAGAACAAAATCCCCCACACATGCATATTTTGGGTTCATTTGATAATTTTATTTCCGAAATTCATTTGAATTTTCATTAATAATCAATGATATATATATATATTTTTTTTTTTTAAATTGAGATACGTTTTATCCACATACTGAATGGATAGGGGGGAGGCAGGTGCTATCGATTATGGAGATTTTGATATGTGTGTGTATGAGCCCGTGGGGGAAGGGCCGGCCTTAGGCCACTGCGACCTAGGCGGTCGCAGTGGGCCCCGCACTTTCATAGGCCCCACTTTCTAATACAAAATCTTAATTTTCACTTATTATTCTTATCCCTACCCAGACTGGGCCCCGCGCAATCCGTTTCGCATAGGGCCCCGCAATGTTAGGGCCGGCCATGCGTGGAGGGGGGGGGGAGTCTTGGCAGAAAGCAAGTACATATTTGTTTTAAAATTCTACAATAATCATCCTAAAATTCTGAGAGAGAAAAAATAGGATAGCTATTATATCTCAAATGCTATAAAAAATAAAATATTAAGCAATATTTTGTAAGAATAATCGTAGGCTTGTTGCTCTGTGTTTCCACAAATGAACTCCTTAAATATACCTCAAATGGTACTCAGTAGTAGTAGTATTACAGCAGCAGGGGGAGGGGGCTCGAACATTTGACTTTTATTGCGTGCGTACCTGATGGATGACCTCATACGTCACATATCTTCATCCCACCTCCTACACACACACACACACACACTATTTTGGAGAGGGTCGAGAGCAAAACTGTTTAAGATGGACATAAAATCCGAGAGGCACGACAAAAGCGGTACAACGGTACAAGAATCTGTCAACGGTACAAGAATCTGTCAACGGTACAAGAATCTGTCAACGGTACAAGAATCTGTCAACGGTACAAGAATCTGTCAACGGTACAAGAATCTGTCAACGGTACAAGAATCTGTCAACGGTACAAGAGAATCTGTCTTATTTTGTTCGTTCAACTTTACATCGCGATATCGGTTCCATTGTTTAAACGAAACGTTCATATCTTAGCGTCATTTCGCACGATCAAATTCCTTTCAAATTTGCGTCCAATTTTTTTTTGAGAGTTTTCTTTTTTTTTTTTCTTTTTTTTTTTTTTTAGACAAAAATAAGAATTTGATCAAATAAGTAATCTGAAGGTTGTGACAAGGCTTCATACAAAAATCGCATCCAATTTATGTACGGAAATTCGAAAATAAGTTGATCGTGTGAACTGAGCCTTTCTCAGACTCATTAACCCGAATATATTCAAAATGAGCACCGTCATTCATTCATAGAAGAATAAAGAACAAAACCCTGAAAAATACTCATCATTATGGATCACGTAATGTATGACGACATATATGCCGATAAAACCATACACAAAACATGTAAGACCGTAAGACTATACACTATCCAGAAACCCTGAGTCGAACCACGCGTGTCTTCACATTAACGTGAACAGCTAATCCCACCCTCAGCGTTAGGGGGGGGGGGCAATGTTTCCACGCCACTTCATCCCTGAGAGGCACTTTACCTCTATCTGTACTCGACATTGTGAAAATGTCCCTTCCCCTGCTTTTGTTCTATCTCATACCCGCACGTCATCTCGAGCAGGGCACTGAGATCATAGTCGTGCTCTCTAATGGCGAGATCACATCAAACTTTCTGATCCAACGTTGAATTTAAGTTGAATTTTAAAAGAGTCCTTTTGATAGTACGAGAACTACAAGCAACCCCACAGGCTGGGTGAGGGCCCTCTGGTGGTATGAATAAATATGAGAACTCGCCATCATCACTTGGCCAAATGGTTGATGCGTTTTTACTAAGGTGGTTTCGGGTCGGGTGGGGTTGACCTAGGTCGATTTAGAAATAATTTTGCATGCCATCATGACAGCGCTTTCCAAAAGTTATGACATCATGACATCACTTTCCAAAAGTTATAACATCATGACATCACTTTCCAAAAGTTATAACAACATGACAGCATATTCCAAAAGTTATGACATTATAACATCACTTTCCAAAAGTTAAGACATCATGACAGAGCTTCCCACAAGTTTAGACAACATGACAGCACTTTCCAAAAGTTATAAAATCATGACATCACTTTCCAAAAGTAATGACATCATGATAGCACTTTCCAAAAGTTAAGACATCATGACAGCACTTTCCAAAAGTTAAGACATCATGACAGCGCTTCCCACAAGTTAAGACAACATGACAGCACTTTCTAAAGTTATGAAATCATGACAGCACTTTCCAAACGTTATGACATAATGACATCCCTTTTCAAAAGTTGTGACATCTAGAGAAAACTCAATTGAACATAGTATTTTCCACGCTTTAAATCAATGAATAGATCATATAAATTACGAAATAATATGATCAGCAGTCGGACCAAGACTTCACGACGAGACGTGAACCGCAGTGCAATTCTTCCGTGGTGGTTCCCAGAGCGCTGCCGGACCCTTCAGAAGGACGAAAAGCTGGCAGTGCTCAATAAATCGTTCACCATTCCCTGTTTCAATGTGGAATTTTCAAATCCGCCCGTCCCACTTTGCAGCTACGTATGTAAATGCTCCTAATTACACGCAACGACGCAGCTGTGGTCATAATTTACATTTTTTAAAATACGGCTGAATGCAAACTGTTAACAAAACTGTCGTGGGATTCATACAATAAATGTATGGCTACAACAATTATCCCGCAAGACAACTTAAATTACGCGATTTTTTTTAAAATAATTTTCTTTCCACCATTCAAATCATATCCACCATACATTTTTAGGCAAATATCGATAAGAAGTCAGCTGTTATTTTGTTAAAATCTTTACATTACGTTCAGGGCATCTCTTTTTGATTTGCCAGCTATAATGACTGAGCGATACAGAGGAGGTTTTGCTCTGTTTCCAAGTTGTAAAAATATATTGTACGGGGAAGTGGAGGACGAACTGACTTGAAAAATCTGTTGCTCTGTGCGTTGTTCAGTGTCCTTTAAAACAAGAATTAGATTTGCCGCAATCAGAGACCGCGGCGTCTTGATACTTCCTCACCGTTCCACTGAACTTGGTTTTTTTTGGTCGGGGACTTGCGCCAACTCTAATTCTTTTGTCTCATTTTTAGGTAGGGTACATGTACACATGTACATTTAATGTACACTTAAATAGACTTTTTTTTACCGATAAACGCATTTACCGAAACGTTTAGCTTTAAATCCGGTACGATCATCGTTAAGGCTGAAGATCTAATGTTTTATTTACACAAACTGTGTCTAATTAATCAACTTGAAAGCCTTATCGCAGCACAATACACTTACAATTAGTTAATTGATTTTCACAAGTACTAATCTTAAATATCTTATAGGAAACTTTTAATAAGCTTGGTTATATTTCATGTAAGGTTTAGGGTTCTCTAAATCTGCTGGTTACGAAAATGATGGAGGAAAAGATGGATTGGACGAGACACATTTTGATTAGTGTTTAAGTCATTACAAGTTGAAAACTAATTTTTTTTTTAATGATTTTTTTTAGAAATATTTCCTACAGTCTGTCACTGTTTTCCTGATCATCATTTTCAAATTTCGTGCAAACCGACAACACCGGCGCACATGGACGTTAACATAAATTAAACGATTTGACGAATGTAATAGGGAGGACCAATATTTTGTTCACAAGG